TATGAACAATTGTCACGTTTGAAGCTGTAATAAAAATGAAATAAACAGAGAGAGAAAAACGTCAAGGTAATAATAATAATGGGTTGCGAAATTCTAATCGGCTGATTTATCAACATCATCATACGGCAGAAAGAGCGAGAGAGAGAGAGAGAGAGAAAAAATGCAATGAACATTATTATAAAAAAAAACTAGTAAACAGTTAATAAATTGAAAGTGCACGAAACGTCAAGCAGCCGTTACAACCACGACTACGACGGCGGCAGCAATCAGCGAAACGTATATTTTGTAATAAAATGCATTTTCATATTGACAAACTAAATAACGTGGTGTTGAAGCAAACGGCAACAAAAGCAGCGAGAGAGAAAAAACACACACACACACACAACGCAAATAAAACCAACATTCGAACGAGTGCAAAAGAAGTGCACGGTGCGCGGTGATTATAACAAATTAACGAAAGCATGCAAACCAAACATTAAGCCCATTGTGCATTAGCGGGTGCGAAATCGAATCGAATAACATGCAAAAAAAATACACAAAAATACAATGCAACTACTCACTCATCACCGACTCATTTTGCTACTAACTATTTTACCAGCGCATGTCTTCTGTTCACACTCTCTCTCTCTCCGTGTTATAAACTAATTACAAGCGATAAAAAATTGAAAATCAAAATCGAAACGGTGGAAGAAAAAAGGTGTTGTTTCAAAGATTCCAAACGAATTGTTAAGATAAACACAAGCGAATGTTGTTTGTTTTTGGTGAGAATCAGTTTTTTCAAGATCACAGACAAAATGACGCACAAGAATATACCGATACCACTTCGATCGATACACGTTGTCATTGAGATATTTATATACGGGCTAAATGGTCTAATAACATTTTAGAATAATGTGATCGACTTTATCTGTCATCGCTTAAATGGCCTGTCGCACACCGGCCGCTCCGACACCAACAACGACCTCAAAGAAACGAATGAAGCAGTAAAAGATACAAAATACGTAATTTATACGAGTTTGACGATTTTTCATTTCAAACGAAAACACCTTACCCCGCCTAGACAACAAGCAGCGTGAGCACCAAGATGCACACGCATCTAGATAGTATAAGCCGATTAAAAATTCAGATGGGGCAAGAGAAAGAGAGCGAAGGAAAAATGCATCGGAATATATCTGGTGACCAATTTGATCCTTCTCAACTCGTAATTCATGTATGTTTATTTTTCATTCTCCGTTGACTTCGATGGTGGCGTTAAATCTCTCACGTGTGTGCATTATTAAATGGAGATTGTGTGTGCGAGTGTGTGTGCAAGTGTGTGTGTGTGTGTGTGCGAGTGTGTGTGTGTGTGTGTTGTTGATTTTCTCTTGTTGGTCCGAGAATTTATAACAGGTTGAATGTACGATGTATATTAAAAGAAATTGTGAAGTGACTGCGCTCGCATTTCTGACGGTTAGAACGAAGCGGTGAGCGAACCGAGTTTGCCAATCCCGGTGCATTTGGATATGTGTGTCAAGCACATGCTCGTATTGTGATGGCCACAGTGCGTGCAATACACAACTGAGCGAAAGAAAAGAATGGCAAAAACTAAATATAATTTATAGTTTGTTTACACCTTCAGGAAAGAGAAGAGCGCATTAGGCCGGACGGCTTTTTTTTCTGCATGGCGTTTTTCAATGTCTTGTTCAAACAAATGTTGATTTGATGCCAATTCTTTTCTTTTGCCATGCAACACACACACACACATGCAGAAAATCCAATGCGGGATATACAGCCAGTGTTTAGCTGGCAGGCAAAGTCGAAGGTGTAAATTGGTCACAAAGTCAAAAAAGAGGAGGAAGAAGAGGAGAAGAACGCAATCATAATATGCAACAAGGCTTAAAGCGCGTGTTCATTTGTCATTCTTTCTGCAAGCATAAAATACCAATTTCGATATTTCTTCAAAATCTCCCACTGATTCACTTTGTGCGGAACAGTCCGTTGGCTCATCGAAAGGACACTTTTTTGTGTGATATTTCATCAACAACAACAACAGCAAGATTGAAAGACATAAAAAAAAACTCCACTGCACGCAGTTTTTTAAATTACGTTGGCCATTTCAACACAAAGTGCACAAAAATGCAATGGGCATCGATTTCGTCGTGCTCTGACTGAGCGACGATTCAACTGGGCACACAAATATGTGCTATTTCAATATTTTGCCTGTCTAAAATGCACACCACTGGTTTCTCTCACTGAGTTTTTCATTCTCTCTCTCATTCTTTTTTTTCCGTTCTTCTCACCCGGGTATCGGTTTCCTCTCTTTTGTCTACGCATACCGAGAGTTAATGGGCTCTTTTCATTTGTTGCTTTTGGAATCGTATCGTTTTTCTGTTAAATTGGCTAGAACTGTGCGCAATTTTTCTTCCTCACAATCTTCGAGACTGGGTGTCCAACGATTCAAAGCGTTTCGATGCATGTGTGAGGTATTTTGTGACCTCTTTGTCTTTTTTATTTGCTTCATTCTGTACGCATCGACAAAGAGAAGAGAAAAAAGTCTTCATCAAGTAGTTTGGTTAATGCGTGCACATATATATTCCTTAAAGGCAACACACACACACACAAGTCGAGCGAAAAAAAAGAAACAAAACAGAAACAGAGTCGCTCGTCTCTTTTTCACTCATTCGACACGCATATTGTATGCTGGATTTTAATTGCCATTGTATCGAAAGTGGGCTTGCTGGTTACAGTACATTTGTGTTTACAAACACGTCCTTTCTTTATCCTTCGGCTTTATATCTCCGCTCTCACCACGATGCTCAATCGGATTTTGTAAACGATACGTATGTTTTCATCATTATAACACCTTTGGCATGTGCTGTGATTTCTCAAACACCAATTTATCAATAACGATTTTCAAGTCGGCAATTTTTTTTTCCCTTCGCCGAGCATTTTTCGTGCAAATATTTTACATATTTATCATGCTGCTCAACGACGATGAAGTAAAAAAATGTGATCGAGTGAATTATGCATCTTAGCCAAAACGCTAGAATAATCCAATTCCAACTCTTCATCATGAACACGTTTTTTTTTTGTGTGGTATGAAACACCTTTTCGTGTAAGTTCAACGATTTAAAATAAAAGAAACAGAGACAGAGAGAGAGAGAGGGAAAGAAAGAGAAAAAATGGCTTGCTTTTGGCTGAATCTGTCATTATAAAAGTCCAACTGAGTCAGAGACCAATTATTAAAAAGTGTCATGTTAAAAGCTGCAGCAGTATCGCCGTGCACACCAACCAACCAACAGCAGTCAACAGCAATGCGAAATAAGTAAACGCATGAACTTAATCGCCATGGGGGTGCTGCTCGTGATATCCATACTTCAAGCCAGTCTAAACAAACACAACCAACGCGCGTTTTGCTCTTGGGCTCGAAAGAGCAGGGCCTAACAAATGATTCAGTACGCTGTTGCACGTGAATAAATATAAATGTTTATGCGATTCTATAGAGTCGACGGGTTAAATTACCTTTTGCCGCGCGCGCAGCTTTTATTTTCAACTTCTTTTCTTTCAAATTTCACTTGGGCGCTCGTGAGTGCTGGCCGTGTACGCGCGAGCGCAACCTATTCTTCTTGCTGTGACACAAATTAATAAAGTTAAATAAACATTTAAAAAACGGTGAGCGAAAAGGTAAAACGACAACGAAAGAGAAAGAAAGAAAATGCGCAGAGAAAGAAAGAAAAAAAGAGAATATACAGCATACACAAATTATTATTAAATGATAAATACACCCAATACGATTGGTACGAAAAAAAAAGAACGAAATAAAGCTACAAATGTTTGACGCAGCAATAGAATGGACCGATACATGAATGCAATATCGATAAGAATCGCCGTTGTCGCCGCACATCGTTCTTATCGATGTTTTTCGTGGATGGTTTGCCGTTTTGGTGTTGGTGCTCACGCGCTAAAAAAATCCATGCGCATTCACTGATAATGTTTATCGTTCTGCACACCATTTGCAACAAAAGAAGCCATTCCAGCATATAAAGTCTATCTCTTTCTCGCCCGCTCGTTGCGAATCATAAAAACTCCATAAATATGTAAAATGTGGTGATGATAATAATTGTCTGGTGATGGCTTTTTTGCACCATTCCACGCGTGCGCGCGCGCGCGCTCAAGCTCCAATCGAATTTGTTCAATGCAATCATAACCGTGCTGCTGACCATAATATTCCGAAATTAATTTCAACTCATGTTTTACATTTTTACATGGAATCAAATCCATTTTTTACGACGACGACGCACTTCGCACTCTTCATCTGTCTCCCTCTCTCTCTCTCTCTCATGTATTCTCTCGTGTTCATTGGAAACGAATTCGCACAGGCTCACACATGTACACATGGTCGCTAATGTCATTAAGATAATTAGTATATTGTCAGGTAATTCATTTAATTTGAAGTTTATTGCGATTGTGGAATGCGATTCTCCTTTGACAATGATTTTAATCATTTTCGTCTCTATCTCTCGTTAATATATGAAATACATTCGTAGATTATTTCTCATGTTTTTATTTTATTCCGTTTGTTTCGTTGTTGCTTCAAGAGAATTCTTTTGATTTTTTTTTCTCTTAGTCATTGGCCGCATTTTTCTCTCTCGTTTGAGCCACCAATTTCACTTTGGACCTTCGTCAATAAATTTAATGTGTGATTTTTTGACGTTTTTTTTTCTCTTCATTTCATGATTTTATGTAAATCATGTGTGGCTAATGAATACTAGATCATACCGGATTGATATTTCGACACGTTGTTCCATTGAAACGCACCATGTCAACAACTCGTAAAAATAACCACAAGAATTTCCGTCTCAAACGATTATGTGATTTTTATCACAAAACCAGAAAAAAAAAACTGTTCAATTAAGAAAATATCATGTTTCAATGATTTCTATCTTAGAAATATTAAGTTTTTTTTTTCTCTTCTTCTTAGCAATCGATTAACTTTCAATTTTTTTTTTCTTCTTTTGCAGACGAATGTTTCCAACAGTTCGTGTGTCATTCTCGGGTTTGATGCGACCAGCCAAACCAACCGATTTCTATGCAGTTCTTCTGGATATTGTTCCAGTTGATTCGCGTCGTTATCGCTATGCTTATCATCGATCGGCGTGGCTTGTAGCTGGTAAAGCCGATCCACCACCACCACCACGTTTGCATGCACATCCCGACACTCCGTTCACATTTGAAGCACTCACCAAACAGGTGATCTCCTTCGAAAAGGCTAAACTCACAAATAACGAAATGGATCGCAATGGTCAAGTAAGTAATTCGAATCCTTTTCAACTTTTTACTTTCCGTAGAAAAAAAAATGAAAGCATAAAAAAAACGAACGCATTTCCAACGAGAAAAAGTTATTCGTTTCTGAGAAAAGTGAACGCATCCATAAAATTCCTAGTTAAAATTCTGGTTCCGCTCATTTTTTTCACAAATCGTCCATTTCCGTCTCGATTCTTCACACATACTCTCTTTCTCTCCGTTAATCGCCGTGCAATGGCTGGTGTTCGAAGCCGAAGACACAAGAACTGTGTGGAGAAAAAAAAAATTTGGCGTCGGCGCAGTTATTCGGTCGGTCGAGTCCATATGCTACCGTTTTATATGTGTGCTTGCCTCGGCTTCCGTTATTGAATACATTTCACTCATGCAATCCAATTTGCTATTCAACACCAATAATTGAAGTTTCGGCGTGAAAAAAAAACCCCCGTAGCATGCTCGGGCACAATAGAGACACTCGCACACAAAATGGCTCATAGATTTTTTACACATATACACGCATTTCGAATTGGGCAAACACTGAGCAATGGTTTTTTTTTCGTTCGTTCGAACGCTCTGAATCCCATTGAGCTTAATTTATGCATTGCAAGCATTAAAATTCGATCACCAACCAAATACACACACACACATACCGAACATAACAATATTTCACCGGCCAAAACGCATAAAATAGACGTTTAATAGAATTGTAAAATGCAGAAAATTACGAGCACAAAACAAACAAATGCCATGGATTCTGTGTGTGTGTGTGTAAGTGCATGTTCAGGCGTTTGGGAGACAAAAAGCCAACGTAGTAGTTCAAACCGAACCGGATGATTTGTGTTTGGATATTTTATTGTGCTTCTCGTGTTTGGTTTTTTTTCGTTGTTGTTGTTCGTTTTTCGGTTCATTCTCTACGCTGGAAACTGCATAAAGTGCGCGAACGCGCGCAGTGAATACACTCGAGATGGGCATATCCAATCACCGTGGCATAGCATTCCGTGTGTTGGGTTTCCTAGGCGACCGTCGACCGTCGTTGTGTATAGCATTTCGGTGTGTGTTACGTATTCGGATAATTTATGTACTCGTTCGTATTTCGCTTCGTTTTTGTTCCATTCTTTTCTTCCGTTGTACGTTCTACTCTTGGCATTCCCGCCTGCGTCTCTCCCTCGCTCAGCCTGAATGGCTGGGCTGTGTGTGCTCACCGTCGTTGTCGTCGTCATCGTGCACATTATGTGTCGTACATTATCATTTCGCTTTATGGGTATTTGCCTTGTGTGTGTGTATATGGATGTTACGAACATATTCGCAAGTGCATACACAGCCGAATGCACGCTCTCTCTCTCTCTCTCTCTCTCTCTCTCGTTTTCGCCTGCTTCGTGCGTATACCAAACTAAACGCGTACAAATGATACATATTGGCAATTTGTAATATTTTGTGTGAAAACACGATTTACATTTCGGGGGCGGACAAATCACTCATGAATTATTGCGCTTCCAAATACGAAAAAAAAAAACTGACTGCGAAAAATGTGATGCACAAGAATAGAATATTTTTCGAACAATCACGAAATTCAATCGTATTTCGTTGGAATATGAGCAACAGAAAAAAAGAGAGAGTCATTGCTCCATTTAAATGCAAACGATGTTTTTCACGATTCGTTCATATTTCACATAAAGCTTTTTACTCAGATCCAAATTTATGAGCTCTACTCGGAATAGCACACGCAGATGACACTTTTCTAACCGTTTTTTTTTCTTCATCTCTTTCGATTACAGGTCGTGTTGAATTCAATGCATCGATATCAGCCACGCATTCATTTAGTGCAACTGAAATCTGGTCAAAAGATCCCAACCACACCGGCCGAACTACAAGACTTAAAACACAAAACATTTGTATTCCCGTCGACTGTGTTCACAGCGGTCACAGCATACCAAAACCAATTAATCACCAAATTGAAAATCGACTCAAATCCATTCGCAAAAGGATTCCGTGATTCATCCGACTTTGGCAGGTACGAGTAAGTTTTTATATCGATTTTATTCTCTCTCTCTCTCTCTTTCATTTGTTTCGTGTTTTTTTTTTGTTTGGGTTCAAACATTCAGTAGTAAAAAGAAAAGAAATCATGCAATGTGAACAAAGAGATCTAAACGATTTGTTTTTTTTTCTCGTTTCTTTTTTTCTCAATCAACAGAGATCCGATCGATGCCCTCTTGCTTGAACAACACATGAATGCACCGTTTCGGCCATACGGTGATAATTCATTGTCGCAATTAGTAGCTCAGGATGCGATGGCATTCGTTGAACGGGCCAAACAGCATTTACAAATGTTTGGCAATAATCCGAATGCAGCAGCAGCAGCGGCCGCCTATCAAGAGTCAATATTACCTCAGTTATATCAACGACAAAACTTAAATATGGGACTGTGGCAAGGTTTTTGGCCGCAGCATATACCACCAAATTTCTTGTCCGGCATTGCCGGTGTTGGTGGGCAATCCGGTGGACCGGGCGTCGGTTTACCAAACGTAGCCAAACCATCCATTTCACCAAGTGGTTCATCGCAAACAACAACATCGCCAACACCATCGATTGTCACAGCCGCTTCAATGGTTGACATGCGAGAAAAATACTTCAAACGTTTTAGCCCTTATCAAATACCACAAACGCATCCTTCGTCAAACAGCCCACCAAATTAGTTTAGAGAGAGTTTGAATTTCAGAACTTTTCGCGACGTGCACATTCACTTCGATGTGTTTCGGGGCGATTTGAATTTTCCTCTCCGCAGCCCCTACCCTCTTCATCTGTTGAAGTAAACATCTCATCTCATGCAATTGAAAATTTAGCCATAATTTTCAAGCTAACTAAACAAAACAAAACTATTAGTGTTACATGTATAGTGCTTAAGGTCATAGATCATAGAGACTTTATATTTAGATTTGAAGAATGAAACAATAACAGACAAACAAGCGATTAGCAAACCCATTGATTTGATTTTAAAAAAAAAAGAAAGGAAGAGACAGTCGATATCTTTCTGTCTTGATGTAAAAAAATTTCGTTCACAACAAATTTTTGCCTCTCAAATTCATTTCCCTCGCAATTTGCAAAGTGCAGTTTATTTAAATGGTTACAGCTCGTGATTGGGGCAACGACGCATTCATTGTATGTAACTATCCGATTTATGTTCAAATATTTATAGCGCTATTCGGTTCTAGAACAAATTTAATTGTAATTTTTAAAAGATTATTATTTATGTTTTAGTGAAATCTGTGATTTAAAAAAAAAAGCAAGCAAACCTCGAGTATTTTTTATCGTTTTGTCTAAAATGTTTTTGAGTTTATTTTGATTTTCTCGCAATCAGATATATCTCTTGTAACAATCAGAATAATAATGTGTTTGTAAGATAATTTTTTTTCTCCTTTTTCCTATTTCTGATTCATTCGATTTTGTAAATATAAGACCCATTGTATATTCATTGAATCTGGATTTGTGTGAATGTTTCATCATTTTTCTTTCGATTCCTTTCGATTCTTGTTCTCGCTTCACGTGTAATTTATTATTGGCGTTAGCGCAAACATTTAACATTTGACGTAGAATGACAAATAAAATGGCATAAGATACAAATTGCAGTCTCTCTCTCATGTATAAACGAAAAAATAAAACAATTTCGACTCGATGTGATTAAAGCATGATGATGATGCAAGCTCGTTCATCAATTTTATGTTATAGAATCACGAAAATTTGAGACTCAACGCAAAAAAGAAAATCAAAGCAAAAATTCAATGACATAGAATCATTCACTTAACAACACTCAAAGTTTAAAACATTAATAAAATAAAAAATATTTAAAAGAATGAAAAAAAAAAACATCAACTCATTGGATTGTATAGATTAAATAAGAGGAGAAACACCCATGTATGTAATAACATCCCATAAAATAATCAATGCAAAATAAAAACATTACATACAAAATACCATTTTAACGTACTCTTTTGTTGTTTTATTGCTTTATTGCCACGGTTTCAGCGGAACACACTATCGGGCAGGTTTTCTTCATCGTTGTTTTTGCACATTTCAACCGATTTTCTTCCAAGATATCTTTAGATTTTGATACAATTTTGCGAATTTTTCACCACTCATCATCATCATCATCATCATCGTCCCGTGCACTAATTCGAAGTTGTTTCGTTCGCATTTCATTGGTGCAACGGCAGCTGAACGCGATGAGATGGATACGCGAACGCGTTAAATCAAGCCTAAAACGATGCATACAATTTAAAATGCTTGAATTGTGTTCATATTTTTTTTTATTATTATTTATAGCTTATAAACCAGCATCTTATTTGAATGGCTTAAAAACGGCAATAAAAGTCTCTCAGCCATATCACACACTGAAACGGGCGAAAATATGGAAAAGAAGAGAGAAAGAGAGAAAATGGTTTGAAACGCACGGAGAGAGAGAGAGAGAGAGAGAGAGAGAAAAAGAAAAGTGACAAAAAAGAAAAAAAAGACCAAACAAGAGATCACAGAGCACACCACACGAATAGTGTGAAAAATGTAGGACTTTTTTTCTTTCTTTCGTCTTTGTTCGGAACAATGACAACAAAACGAGGAGACAAAAAGGTAAAAGCGTCGAGCTGCGAAGAAGACAAACTGATTATTATGACTGTTTGGATGGTGAAGTGTTGTTTACTTGGTGTGAATGGACGTAGAGAGTGACCAATACACCAAACAAACAAACAAATACTTTATTAAAATAAGATGAGCGCGCGAGAGAGCAAACCCGATGAAGAAGAGAAAGATGAAGAAACAAAACGCGACGCGACACATAACAAAAGCGATAAAATATGAGCCAGCTCATTTCGACAATCCAATAAATTTAATTTTAATATTTGGTCGAATATCAACCAACGATCAAATGAAACAGAGAAAAAAAAAATCAAATATTCTTCTTATTTTGGATCGGGTGAAAACGAGCTTTGGTTATAAATTTTTTGTTCACCAAATGAATAAAAATGAAAGAAGGACACTCAGAACAGAATCGGCCATTGGTTTTTTGTCAACTCGATCAGCCTACAAGGCAACACAATGCAATCCGAAAAGGATTTACGATCGCCGCACACTCGTACTCCGTTCTGACGAAAGAGACAGTGTGTCGTCGTTGTCGATGTCGACGATCCAACCAGTCTCACATTCCATTGACAGTCGATTGTTTATGGGTAATTATTATCACGATTATATTCGAGTTATAATTTGAACGGTGAAGAATAAATTTCGGTCGTTCATAAAAAAAATAGAAGAAGTCATAAGCATATCAATGAAGCGCGATATCATTTTACATTGCATTCGCTCGCATTTTTACACCTTGTTTTCGGCTGGAAGTCTAGCAATTCATTGTTTATTTCTTAATATTCTGCTTTCATCATTTGAATGAACTTTTTTCTCATTCAATTTGTTCGGTTTGGATGCCCCGAAACACTTTGCACTCAAGCTGCTTGCTCCGTGTTGATAAAGACATTTTCAAAGCTCGTTTAAATTTATTTGTCACACATACACATCAGCCTCGACTTGACCTTACCTCATGTATCGATGGCGAACATAAAACGAAACCAATCAAATCGATTGGAAACGGTGTCTCCATTCAAATGTTAATATCGGATCGTAAAATTGTTGCCGTAGAATTTCGAATAGATATCAATGACGAAAAATAAACACACAACAACTGAAAATATTTACGAAGAAAAAACAAATATTTTAATGACATAATAATCGAGATGAGATTGGCTATGTGCGTGCATGGTTTCCTTTTGAAATGTGCGCAAGGTGATCATCGCTTCTTGCTCGTTTAGAGCTCATGTTGTGATAACTGAATTCGAAATCGAAACGAACAGGAAACGGTTATGAATATATCCAAAACGACATTCTCGAATGAATATTTATGAATTTCATTTTTGACTCAAGTAACTTTTTTGAATGGTTGCGCCTCGGATTCGGTTTGAGCTGTGTTGAAAAAGACACCAAAGAGTGAAGAAAAAGTTTGAGACGCTTTCACTCACAGGTCACAGTTAGTGTGTGTCTCAAAAAATAATCAGCAAATTAAAGTTGTTGAAGCGAATGTGCTAATCACATGAAGTTTGACGATTCACCTGCCACTTCACCAGGTTCACCAGTCATTTTTTTCTTTTTCTTTCGAGTCAAAGGCAAATTAATAACAATCGTCTTCTTTTTTCAGCATGGTCTTTGCTCAAAGCGCAATGAAACAGACTTCACTGTGCCACTTCACCTCACAGCCATTGTTTATTCGAGGGCATTTTTCATTTGTCATTAATTTCAATTAACATTTTGACAAATTACCTGAAATTAGTTAACTAAATACGTTTTGGAAACGAAAAAAAAAACGCACACGCAGTTTCAAAACAAATAGACACATAGCCACTTGCACCCTTTTAGTCTCACGACGACGCATTCGAAACAGTCGGATAATGAAGTGAGAAAGGCTGAATGAAATAAACAAAAGCAATCTGAATTTCCTTTGCCTTTAGTTTTCTAATTATTCAAAGATGGAAATAATGGATTTTTGGAAGGAGCCGAGTATCACACACACAGTAGGTCGGATTTTAGATACACGGCATATAATATGAATACACGTAAATAATTTTTCGTTATATTTTGTAAATATTTACGCACAATAACGCCAAATTCGAAATGGTAAGAATGAAAAATCGGTTAATTCTGTTAAGCAATCGCCTACTGTTAGGTATTTTTTTTTTGTTGTGAATAATGCGCTGCGGTCAAGTATTGTGGCATGCGATGGCGATATGTCTGGTCGTTCGTTGAGCCGTTAGCCACCAACTGTGTCTGACGCATTTATCAATCGAAACTAACCAAGAGCAAAAGAGGAAAAAAGCAACGAATTGACAACAACAACAGCAACACACAGGCACAAAAACACACACGAGAAAAAAAAACCAGCGGATTCAGATGATTCCCGATGATTTTTCATTCCTCATAAATTCATATACGACTTTTGTTTGACTCAACTGCTTACCCATACACACTCAATTTCATGGCAATTTTTTTCATTCATTTTACTATACAAACAATTTCGACCCGCACACCGTTTTTGTGTGTGCTTCTTTCGACAAACCTGAGTAATCACGTAATAAAATCTGACAAATAAACAACATCGGTTATCAGATGCCATCGGTCGATCTTACTTAGAATCGTAATAATGATGATTAAGCTATGCCACACTGCAGCAAAATGTATTGATGCATCATTGACGACTGGTGGTGTAGTGGTGATATCAAGTCTATATACTTATTCACAGCGACCATATGTCTACTCACAAAATAAATCGTATTTTGGCTGTGTGCTTCAAATTATGCAAGAAAATCCATTAAAAATCACTATAAGAACGAGAGTATCCAGTTTAAATGTGGTGTTTCCAAGAAATTTATGCGAGAAACATTCCATGGCAATGCTTAAATTCCATGTAATTGTTATTTTCGTTTTTTTTTTACTTACAAGCAGACGGCGATTAATTCTAATGGGTTTTCTTCAATGTTCTTCTGTGAAAATCAACGGTTTGAAGTTGAAATGTGCTCTAATTGGCTTTTCATTGGGTTTTTGATTTCAATGCACACCAAAATCGGGTGGTAAATTGATGCTAAAATAAATTACGACTTTAACGAACATCGAATGGAAATCAAGCTCAGTGATGCGTGTACCTGAATTTAACATCTTTCACAATTCATGAAAACAGAGAGAGAGAGAGAAAGAAACAAAATTTGAGGAAAATGCAGGGAAGTTCGTTTTTTCTCCTGGCAGCCGCTAAACATCCTCTTTCAAAAAAAGGAAAATTTATACTCCAAAAAATAAAGACAGACAAAACCCATGTGGAATGCCACACGCATTCATCGCTCTTCATGTGACAAAGGCAGGCAGTAAGCCAGCAGTCATCACCATTGCATATGTTGGCATTGATCAGTGCGCAAACGAGATCATTAGGAAGTGAAGTGGCACTTTGTAAACTTTCACTTTTTCGTTTCTTTTTTTTTTCTCTCGAACGGAACACAACGTCAAACTGGTTGGCATTCAGAATTTTTGTTCGATGTTGGTGCGGGTGGTCGTTCATTTGCCTGAGCAAGCTTATTATTTTCGTTGTTTTTCGTTTAAATTAGATATTACCGTTTGCTCAAGTGACAAATTCTCTCCCATTTTAAGGAAATGTGCACAACTAAAATAAGTTATATATTATCTTTTGCTGTAAGTGTAAATAAACAAGAGAAAATTCGGTATGAAATATGTTCGAATGTGGAATACGTAAGAAATGTTCCATGTGTCAAATTGTCCCGTTTACCAATTCTCGGCGATGGTTGTATAGCTGTATCGTTTCCCTTGTTACCATTTGGTGCGTGAAGAACAGAAAGGAAATCGATAAGTCGTATCAAATTTCACGTACAACCATTGAACGGTAGTTCATTTGGGCTAGCCTAGCTAGTAGCTATATGAAAATAAATTGGAATTTGGTGTGAAATTTTGTTCCATATTAAGGAAAATGTCATGTACTTGATCGAATTTCGGTTTGAATTGAGTGTCAGTGGTACAACAGGCCACACACACACATTGCGATTATGCCGCAAACATAAAATACGCTGTTGACATGACACAAACCGTATATCACCCCAAATGTCATCGATTTCGATTGAAGGTCTTTTTTCCAGAGGCGAGACTCCTTTCTTAACTCGGCTACTTGAATTCCCAAGAAAAAAAGGCGTTTCTCAACTTTAATTAGACGGTTTAAAAAGTCATTCAACGATTAACGTCATTCACACGAGAACATGTAATTATTTATTTAGATGGAAAAGAACGGTTCATTATAAATATTTCCAAATCAACAAATTTTTCCGTTTGAAATATGTCGAAATTGTTACCGTTTTCAAATCTCACCTCTTGAAAAGAACTCAATTTCCAGTTTTGCCA